TTAAGCCCATTTACAACAAGCCACAGCTCACATACTCAACAGCAAAAACAACATAAAAGATCAGCATAAGACATGGTTGTTCATTCTCACTACTGATATTCAACATAGAATTACCACAGCAAATGAACAAGAAAAAGAAATAAAAAGAATTCAGTTAGAAATGGAGTTAACAAGATCTTAGTTTTCAACAAGATCTCTTAATGACTATTAATAGATAGTTGAAATACTAACTAATCAAAATTTCAAAATTTCTAAAATTCATATTTTCTAAATTACATAGACTTAAAGTATGTATAATGTTTTATTTCTGGAGGGCAGTGAGACCAGTATAAACAGAAGGAATACCATTTACACGGAGTATTTTTTAGCTTCTTAGTAGAATTCTCCTCCATCTTGTTATATTAACTCTAAAATACTCATTACTGAAAGTATATCAATGGTGACCCCAAACATATCTAAGGCAGTATTCAAATTAAGTGGGAATAACTTTTCAAGATGTCAGAATCAAACTATATTATGAAGTTATACTTGGGTAAGAATATCAAGGTAGTCTCCTGGGCAGTCAAAGAATAATGTGAAATCAGTGGCAGACTTTAAGAAGGAGAAGATCTTGAAAATCCGGGAATAGGTGGTTCAGGCTTAAAATTTCATCCATCTTTCTCTCATGTCAGAGTGTAGCCATGGAAACATCTTATGCCCTAACAAAATGTAGACTTATGCCTTTCTTTGAGCTTAGGGTAATGTTTACCTTCTTTGGTCATAAGTTGCTTAGTAAGTCTTGGTTATATTTTAATGCAAACAAGACACATTTGGAGGCCTGCTATGGAGAGAACACAGTGTGTGCGGGAAAGACTGCACCCTCTCTTTCCTGAGTGGAGGATCCCAGTCCACGTGATGAGCCTCTAATACAGTGCTACAGAGTGTTTGGGTGAGAAGCTGTCCTCCACGGCAGGCAGACAGTGGACAAAATGAATGTGGACTTTGAAGCAAGCAGAATAGTCATTGATACTAAGGCGCATGATTTTTACTATCACAGTTAAATATTGCTGGAATCTGAATACATCCCAGTCAGTGGCATCATCTAATTGACAATAATTTTTCTTTCTGCCGCTTTTATAGAATAATGGGGCATTTCACATTCAATAGCACTATAGTTTCAATAAAATACAGTGTAACAGGCTTTGATTACAACTGTGAGACACATTTTAGAAATTTAAAAAATTAACCTATAAGTAGGAAAAAATTATAAGGAAATTCTCCAAAATACTTACTTGGTTTTTTTCATATTGTAGTGTTAGGATAATGGGTGATTTCTTTTCTTTTCTCTGCTTTCTGAAGAAATTTTAAAAGAGATTTTAGAATTAGGCCAATTGGAATGCAAATACTGGTCTACTCAGCTATGTGACGCTGGATAAATTGTTGAGACTTGGTTCATGTTCATTAGAGGAGGAAAGTCATTACCTACCCTTTCTTCCAGTTGTTAATAGCATTCAGCAAGAAAAGCACCTGACACAGTGTAAGAGCTTAATTAATTTAATCATCTTTCATCTACGTCCTTCATCTTCTTTACTAGACTCTTTGAGAGTCAAAATAATGTTGAAGCATAGTACTAGCTGCAAAGTAGGCATTTAGTAAATATTTACTGGAAAAGTGATGGCACCTTTTTCATCCAACAAAGAATTAATGAGAAAAGAACATACCAAGATGGGGTCTGAAATAGCATCGTACCCTGTTTGACAAAAGACTCTTCTGAACATTTTTTTTTTATTAGTGAAACACCATGAGGTACAGTTGTAGATTTACAAACTTTTGTGCTTGGGTTTCGATTATACAATGATCAAATACCCATCCCTCCACCAGTGCCCATTCTCCACCACCATGGATCCCAGTATCCCTCCCACCCACCATCCCCCCCCATCCCACCCTGCCTCTGTGGCAGGGCATTTCCCCTTGTTCTCTCTCTCTCCTTTTGGGTGTTGTGGTCTGCAAAAGAGGCATTGAGTGGCAATCATGTTCGGTCCATAGTCTACTTTCAGCATGCTTCTCCCACCCTGGGAGGACCCTCCAAACACCCTTTATTTGGTGCTCCCTTCTCTATCTGAGCTGCCCTTTCCCCTAGAATGCCCGGCTGGCCTCTAAGCTATGGAGTAATCCTCCTGGTGCTGATCTTGGCTATTCTTGGGTATTAATCTCATATTTTGTTACTTTATATCCCCCAGATGTATGCAATCTTTCTATATTTATCCCTCTCTTTCTGACTCATTTCGCTTAGCATGATACTTTCTATGTGAACATTTTCCTTTTAAAGTGGGTAAGGAATGTGTAGTCTACTTGAATTTTGTTCATTTGCCCTTTTTCACTTTTAAAATTTTTGTTGGCCAATGAGAAACTGTAACTGAGCACTTAATCTAAAGACTTGTTTTCTGAAAAAGATCAATATACCTCTGAAATTGGGATATCATGAATTTTCTTTTTTTTTATTAGTGAAACACCATGAGGTACAGTTGTAGACTTACAAATTTTTGTGCTTGGGTTTCAGTTATGCAATGATCGAGTACCCATCCCTCCACCCGTGCCCATCCTCCACCACCACGGGTCCCAGCATCCCTCCCATCCTCCACCCCCCCTCATGACTTTTCTTAAGGGAGTAGCTGTATAGTGAGTTTGCAAGTGGGGCATCCATGCATTAGCCACTGGAACGCTCTAAGAGAGAAGTGGTAGGATCTAGATACAGTTTTTGCTCCATTCCCCAGGCACCAGTAACGTCTCCATTGTGAAACTTGCTGTTAGTGTGTTTGGCATATCGAATACTGCCCGGGACACTTGCCTGGCTTTGCCGTGCAGGTGAGATACTCTCAGTAGCTTGCCAGGCTCTCCAAGAGGGGCGGACGAATCGAACCAGGGTTGGCCTGGGTTGGCTGAGTGCAAGGCAAATGCCCTACCCACTGTGCTATTGCTCCAGCCCCAAAGGATCTAATTGTTCTAATATATTTCAGGTGGGTGATAACGTTGTTAGGAGTGAGAGGAACAGAGACCTTCCAGATGAGTTACAGTTATTGATCTTGCTTTTATGCTTTTCTTGAGCTAGTTTATTGGATAGAGCAATATACAGCATCTTGATAACTTGGTCCTTAATCCCCTAATAAAACTGGATTTTAAAAGCCTCAAGAAGTGTGAGGGTTACTAACATGATAGCTACAGTGAATATTTGTTCTTCTTTCAAGAAGTTCGTGACTTTAATGAGCATCATAACCTCCGTCCTCTCAGTACTCCCTGCAGTAGGTAGAGGTCAGAGAAAAATGTCATCACTATATTTTTAGAAAACAGAATAGAGACTTAAAAAAATACAAAATGTCTAAGCATTGCTTCCTGGCAAAGTACACAGGCATCTTTAATAAGAGGTTCTCATCTCCAAGCCACATTCCTAATCTACATGTTTCTAAGTCAAGACACAGCAAAGTAAATATATATTTATACTTTTTATAAGGAAATATATTTATATGTACTATTTATATAGTACTATTGCATTACATAGAGCCACGAACACTTAGAACTCAGAGGGGTGCTTTGATCTTACAGAAAAAGAAGAAAATTAGGTCCATTGAGTTTTATTCAGGCTGTACCAGTTGATAGAGAATTAGGCAGTGTATGCCCAATGCATGTATTTATAAGAGGTCTTTTTTAAGAGAAATTCTTTTCAAAACCAACACTTCATGTCCAAATCCTCTCACCTAGTGAATAGCTCAGTAGCAAAGAACAGTTATTTTGGTTTTTTTTTTTTACTTTTATGTGATTTTTTTTACTTTATTCTTTATTTATTTATTTTTTATCATTTTTTAATTAGTGAAACACCATGAGGTACAGTTATAGACTTATAAATTTTTGTGCTTGTGTTTCAGTTATACAATGATCAAGTACCCATCCCTCCACCAGTGCCCATCCTCCACCACCACGGGTCCTAGCATCCCTCCCACCCCCCATGCCCCCCCCCGTCCCACCCTGCCGCTGTGGCAGGGCATTCCCCCTTGTTCTCTCTCTCTTCTTTTGGGAGGTACAGTTATTTTGATTGTGTGTGCAGTTTATTAATTCAGATCTTCATCATTAGCTGTTTTGATTTGAGTGCTTCTTTGGATTTCAATAATTAATAATGGTTTCTCGTGACATCGTTCTGACACCATACCCATTACCAGTGTCCCTGTATCCTCCATTCCAGCCAACCTTCTCTCACTGTCACTGTCACTGTCACTGTCACTGTCACTGTCCTCCCGTTGTTCATCGATTTGCTCAAGCAGGCCCAGTAATGTCTCCATTGTGAGACTTGGTGTTACTGTGTTTGGCATATCGAATATACCACGGGGAGCTTGCCAGGCTTTGCCGTGCGGACGAGATACTCTCATAGCTGGCCGGGCTCTCCGAGAGGGGCGGAGGAATCGAACCCGGCTCAGCTGGGCTGGCAGCGTGCAAGGCAAACGCCCTACCACTGTGCTATCGCTCCATCCCAATCTTCTCCCATCATTAGTAATTTTGATAAGGTGTCCTCTCTTTTCAAGCATTCATTTGAAGTTAGATGACTTTTATGGTGCTCTGTTTGGGTGGCATCTCCTAGGAAACCTCTTATTACGCTTTATTCTCTTATTTTAGGCACCAACAGGGACAGCTTTTCCCAATAATGTAGGCTTATTCTCTAGTCTTTTCTTTCTCTTTAGTACAGTTCTCTTGCCCAGGCAAGCTTCAGAATTTTGCCTGGATTAGTTGCCTGAGAGTTGATATTTATACATCTTATTATGGTACTAAATGGATAACTTCTTTTTAAATGCCCCATTCACTCCATGTTGTTAGAATGGCATGGGAATTCCTAGAACAACATTTTCACAACCTTCGTACTTCTGGATCACTCTGGGAGAGGCCAAGTTTAATTCAGCAAGTGTTTATTCGCCACCCACAATGTGCCAAACAAACACGAATGCCATTTAATCAAGGCACTGTGACACGAGCAGCAGTGCACGGTACGAAACGTACTGGTTTATTCAGAGGAAGGTGTTAGTGAAGGGTTCCTAGAAGTGGTGCTTGAGGAGAGTGTTGAAGATAAATCTTCCTTGGGATAGGCCAGCTGGGGAGAGACATTCCAGGCCGAGTGCACAGGCAGGAACACCGGTGACAGCCTGAGAAGAGAGAGCGCCAAAGGGAGAAGAGTCAGGGGAGTCATTTATTTATAGTTGGCTATACAGGTTCAACCATGGAATCCAGAGAGGAGGCTGGGAAGTCAGCCAGGCAGCTCGTGAAGGGATTTGGGGCCATGCTAAGTTTAATGCTACAGAGTGAGAAAGCCAGCCTGATATTTTAGGAAAGTCAACGAGGGCCTTGTGTAGGGGATGGTTTGGGGGAAGTGGGAACATTAAATCCTAACTATTGAGCTCATATTGGACCGAATGCCTCGGGCGCCCAAGGAACACGGACTTGACTCCAGTCCAGCTCACTCGGATACCACTGGCAGATAGGCGAATGATGTGAAAATAATGTGGAACTGTGTTTGTTCACACGAGTCTTTCCTAGGAAAGAGGAACTAGATTGGCAAGAAGAAGAGAAAATGAAAAAGCCCCCAGTCTAGCTGCTGCACAGGCAGGCGCCCTTGCAGTTCTCATTTAATGAAATTTGAAATGAGCCTGACCCCAGGGGCTGTCTCCCCAGAGAGGCACATACCCAGCCTTCCTGGGCCTGCAGCTAGTGACAGATCACATTTCTTCTTACACGCTGGCTCTGCCATCACTTCTTGTCTCAGATCCTGCAAGCCAACATTTCTGGTCAACATATTTGTACATTTTTAATAACCACTGAGGGGCCTCTAGCCACATCTAAGTGGCAGCCCAAATTCCCTCTTGAATATTTTGTTACTGCTCTCGTTAAGATTCGAAGATTTTGAACGGGATTTCAAAGATTTTGCGGGGTCTTCCCCCAATCTTCATTCCCCCCCACATAACCTGTTGTTTATAATATACGTTTGTGCTGAGCACAGGACTCACACGATATGTCCGCCATGGACAGCAGCACGCTTTGTGGGTGGGTTTGCTCTTCATCCACAATGAGAAACCCAACAGTAAGCATGAGAGAGAATAGCAGTCCCAGAATGAATAGACTCACCCCTACCCCAAAAATGCTGATTCGACCTCTCGTCGGGGTGAGCTGCATCCTCCTGATAGCAATATTAATGTTGATATTCTATATATGTGTCCTAGTTTCAGACAGATAGGTGGGGAAAAACGTGAAAGACACATGTGTATCACTTAATCTTACATCTCTCCTTCTCTGCAAGGTGATCTGGAAAGCATTTGTTGGATAGGCAACTGTAAGATCTGCCAGATATCCGTGGGACAGTCTTCTAACCTGTACAGAGATGCTCTCACTGATTCACACTGATTACCTTTTGCAAATCAGTGGTAGCACGTAGGGGCCCCTTTCTGAGATTTCTTCCCATTTCATTCCCTTCCACCCTATTCTCTTGGGTTTTCATACTTTTCATTCCTGAACCTAGTTTTATCCCCTGTAGTTGCCAGTTCCCATCAGAAAAAAATGTTTGTAATCCTTAGTCCCGTCATTAGATTTCATTAGCAAAACACCATGAAGCTGCACTACAAGCCTGGGCTTTTTGGTATCAATGCAACAACAGTGGGGAGTGAGGGTCTTCTCTGTCGGCCCTGGTTCCTGTGGTTCAGAATCTGTCTTTCTCATGAATTAAAGTGCGCCTTGCCTGCAGGTCCCAAAGAAGTAGGCCAGTGAGTCCCCAGACAATGGGGGCATTTTCCTTCCTCAATATGGAGCAGTAAGCCTGTCAGCCCAGTTCAAATTGACTGCATCAGGAAACAAAAGCTTCTTAGCCAACAATAGACTTCCCAGAACAAAACCCCTTGTAAGTGGCTTGCCCTTCCAAATGGCCTAAGAGTTTTTCTAACTGCAGAAATCTCAGAGCATCCATATTTAAATGAAAATGAGGTGTCAAGTACAATTTTAACTTCTTCATCGATCATCAGCTGTTTTCTTGGTTATTGTGCAATGGTACTTTCCAGGAAGAATTCTGGGCCGTAGCTGATCTCATTTCTGAGGCATTGTAGTGTTAAATGTTTAAAGGTTATGTTTTGATGGCAAATTGTAGAAACAATAACATACTCCCCACTCACAGGAAATGTAGTCACGCACGTGTAAGGTTGTGAAATAAGAGATTATTAAGTCGAAGTTGTATCACTTAGAACGTAAGCACGGGTCACAACTTTCCCCTTGAAATCCCAGGAAGACAAATGAGATGGATAGTAAATCAACTAATCAACTATCTTTACTAGAGAAAAGATTTCACTGGGATCACTGATATGTTATTTTGAGTATCAGTCATAATAATGCTGATACAGTTTCTAGGCTTGATGATTAAAACTGGTGATACACTTTTTTGGTGTTTTTTGGCCACACCTAGCTGTACTCTGGCTTTCTCCTGGCTCTACGCTTGGACATCACTCCTGGTGGAGCTAGAGGACCATATATGGTGCCCAGAAGTGAACCTGGGTCATATGCATGCAAGTCAAGCACCTTACCTTCTGTACTATCGCTTCAGACCTGTGAAATTCTCAGTTACTCTTATATAACTAATACAAAACTATTTCCAAGGCAAGTTTTACATTGCTAAAATTTGATAAATTCAACAATGTCCATTTCTATAAAACAAAGTTAAATTTAAGTTACCATCTGTATTTTGAGATGCTGGGTTTTGTGGGAGGGGTGTGAGATGGTCATCTTAATCAGAAAAGCTGAATTATTGCTTCTGGAAATAACTAAAACATGTGTCACCTACACATGAAATTAAGCATCAATACACAGGCACACATTAAGCCTGTATATCCGTGAAGATAGTAAGAGACAACTGAATCAAACAACCATCATTAAAATGTTAAGTTTCTTGAAGACAAAGACTATTTTTCACAACATTTTGCAATAGAAAGTTTTTAGTAAATGTTTATTGAGGAAATAAAATGGAGGGAAGGAAGAGCCTTATTCAGGACAGTATGGCCCTCGTTTCTTCTGAGCTCTTCCTCCTCTTTTCCCCTCCCTCACTCTAATAGTCCAGTGATTCCAGACTGCCCGAATCCTCTCCCTGGAATAAATAGGATGATCTAATTAGTTAACTGCATATTAAGCTAGATTGAATATAGTCACCTTCTCCTGAGTATTTACACCTGGTGCTGGTTGCTAAGTGCAATTCTAAACAGTGGGAGTCCCCAAGGAAGTTATTTTGATGCATTCTCAGTGCCCAGAGAGTATTCCATAAAATCCCATTCAATTTTCAAAGCATTCATAGCCATTAAATTTCATAGCCCCCAAACTAGTCATATCATCTCAGAAGAGATTACCTGTATAGGAACTAGTGACTTGCTCCAAAAGAAGGAGCGAGTGACACAGAAGAGAACAGAGAAAAGGAGTTTTGAGTTGAGCTCATCTAAATTGGAATCCTGTAAGAAAGTCATGCAACCCATAAATTGGGGTTTCCTCACTCACTGGTGATAGAACCTCTCCTTTAAAGTTGGTGCAAGAATGAGGAAAAAGGTGTAGCTAATTAGAGCTGCTGTTGCACTTTTTTGCTAGTTATCAGTTGTGGTATGTCCTGGATGTGTTGGCGTACTTAATCCTCACAATAACCACACTGCACTGTCCTGCACTGTCCTCCCGTTGTTCATCGATTTGCTTGAGCGAGCCCAGTAATGTCTCCATTGTGACACTTGTTGTTACTGTGTTTGGCATATCGAATATGTCTCGGGTAGCTTGCCAGGCTTTGCCATGCAAGCGAGATACTCTTGTAGCTTGCCGGGCTCTCCTAGAGGGGTGGAGAATCAAACCCGGGTCGTCTGGGCCAGCTGCATGCAAGGCAAACGCCTTACCGCAGTGCTATTGCTGCAGCCCCTCACAATAACATTAATCAAAATTTTAAAAACACTTTGGGAGTATTATACATAGAGATTAAATGAACCTTGCTCCAAGCAACAAATCTACCCAGGTTCAGAGCAGATTTTAGGAACACAGTCTGATTCCAAAGTTCACACTCACTCTCTATTACGATGAGGCCTGCGGATTGGTTACTATGGAAGTCTTCCATCATTTTGGAATTTTGTGTGATGGGTTAATTGTGGAGCCAAAATGTTGGGAACACTTTACAGAGATAAAATTCTGCTGACAGTCAAGGTACCGTACTTCATAAGACAAATTATTTTCCACAGACAACTTGATTTCATGTGTGTACATGCCCACTGCAGAAATTTTTTTTCTTTGCCCAGCAGTACATTGAATGTTTTCTGTGCCCTTTCTCAACTAATCCTCATAACAGCTCCATAAAAAAATTACATTATTTACTCTGTTTTTATGGACAATGAATCATAATCACTGAAAATTAACTTGTCCAAGATGTCTTAATTCTGAAATGGTGGAGCTGGAAATTGCACTTAAAACTATCTAACAGGATTCTGTTCTCTGAAATCAGATGTGCGCTTTCACTCTCCTTGCAGGAAGTGCAGCACCCACTCTGATTACCTGTGGTGTGTGTGTGAGTGTCTGTACTAAATAACTAAATCAAGATACTAAATTAACAGATGACTAAACAAACAGTTGTTAAATCAGTAAACAAGTCACTGAACTCTTCTCACAGAGTTTAAAGTTCACCCTGTGCTGAAGGCTACTCGCAACTTTGGGTTCATCAGCGTCAGTGCTCCTGTGCTCCGGGGGTTAAGTGATGTTGGGATTGATCTGGGATTGGCAGTATGAAACAGCTGAACCTCTGTACTATTTCTCCAGCCCCTTTCCAGTCTTTAAACATTGCTTAGGATACTTGAATAAGTTTGTTACTTTACAGCCTTATGCTCATCTCAATTCTGCTGGCCAGATGGAATGACTAGTAAGATAGTAAGTGCTTAGGTTATTGTTAGTGCTTAGGAAAAAACTGTCACCGTCACTCTCCTCCCGTTGTTCATCAATTTGCTAGAGCGGGCCCAGTAACATCTCCATTGTGAGACTTGTTGCTGTGTTTGGCATATCAGATATGTCACAGGTAGCTTGCCAGGCTTTGCCGTGCAGGCGAGATACTCTTGGTAGCTTCCCGGGCTCTCCGAGAGGCGCAGAGGAATCGAACTCGGGTCGGCCATGTTGGCCACTTGCAAGGCAAACGCCCTACCCGCTGTGCTATCACTCCAGCCCTTAGAAAAAAATGCATCTTATATTCTTGTATATGTACGTACACATGTGTGCAAATATAGATTGTCCTGTTACAAAAAATAGGCTCCTATTCCGCATTTTATAACTTTATTTTTATTTGAGGGCCACACATGGCAATTATCAGGGCTTACTCCTGACTCTGTACTCAGTTTATCACTCCTGGCAGTCCTTGGGGATCATATGGGATGTGGAGGACCAACCTAGGTCGACTGCATGCAAGACAGGTGTCATAGCTGCTGTACTATCACTCCGGTCCCCTTGTGATATTATTTAACTTAGAAGAAATATATGCTCTTTGATTCCAGGTCAGTGCATTTAAATCAAAACCATTTTCCATTTTGTTTTGTTTTTTGGCCTTTTGGGTCACATCTGGTTATGCACAGGGGTTACTCCTGGCTCTGCACTCAGGAATTACTCCTGGCGGTAGCTGAGGGGACCATATGGAATGCTGGGAATCGAATCCAGGTCAGCTGCATGCAAGGCAAATGCCCTATCCACCGTGCTATCACTCTAGCCCCCACAAAATCATTTTCTAACTATGTAA